ACAATAGAGTGTTTATGTCTCGGAACTATCGGTCTGATAGTTGCCCCTTGGAAATTTGATGTTCTTAAAACTAGCATATTTGCCCTCGAAGCTTCGCTCATAATTTAATTTTTAATAGAAACACGACTTTTAACCAATCAGCGCGCGTATTTTCTTAGGGCTGTTTTCTAATTTAAAATGAAGAACGATTTTGTGAAACTTGAAGTTGTTAGAGGCCGGGTCGATCTTGTGTCTGAAGAAACTAAAACCTGAAAAGGACAGATAATTGTGTACTGTTTTGAAATTGACAACGTCAGATGCAAACTGGCAATTCAGCCCGAGCCATGCACATTTCAGCTTGGTGTCTCCATAATTCCTGGTGGGAAAAAGGGTAACTTGAGAGGCAGAAAATAAGTTATGTTTTACTTTTTTTTTTGTATTTCTCTTAGAGTTCATTGAAAATGCCACTAGTACGCAGCGAGTCAGCCTATCATAAAATTTATCAAGAATCCATACTCACTTGCAGATCTGACAAAACAAGTGAATATATGAAAGACCATTTAATTTGAATGCGAGATAAAGATGTTAAGACATTAAAATGTATTTTTGTTTTTAAATTTAAACAGGAGAGGTTTCCGTTGGGTCTGCAATGATCAAGGGCTCTTGCTATCGCAAAGAGAAGCTTGACGTGGTTGCTTATCGTAAGTCAAATGATTGTTTAATCGGCGTACCCTCTTTTTCTTTTATAAGAATCTTTTCTATAAAAATGTTGAGGCTGGAAATAACGAAATTTAAGAATGTACTCTGAAGGTTGAGATTTTGTTAAGAACATGTTTTTACGTGTGATAGAAAATAAAATAGAGTAAAATCACCTTGTTTTTCAGTAAATGAACCGTTTCTGATTTTGTACGGCCTGTATTGAATTCACCCGTTGGGATAAAAAAGCAAGGAGATCAGCAATTGCGGACGTGAAGAGCTCACTATCTATATAAACCACTTGACGAGGTGCATGCAAAGAAACCTGAAAGGGTGTGAGCTTTTGGTTCTGGTTTTGACGAGATAAGATGAACCTCAATGAATCGGCCACTCAGAAGGTGGCTAGAACATGTTACAGTGACATTGGGTATTTTTTGTTGCTGATCAAAGGGAAAGTGACCTCTGGAACGACAATATCTTTTATATACACATTTTGTATCAGTCGTGATTTTACATTTAAAATCGGAGAGGTTACTGAAGTATACTTCTTTTTATTTGACGGCAGATGTTAAGGGTGGTATTCCACTGCCAGTACGCAGGGACGTCGGACAATGCGTGCAGGGAGAGTCCACGGTAGATAAACAGTTAATTAAATATCAGTAGTCGGCACTCGTAGTGTGTATTCCCTTTGATAAGTGTGTGGGACTAAGTCTGTGGTATAGGCCTAACAAGCAACTAAGCGAAAGAAAAAAACTAGTGAAATTTAGGATTAATTACTGTAAGGATTGAGACTGGTCAGTAGACATGATAAAATTCCAAGGGTTAACAGACTCTGCCCTATTTGTGTTTCTAAACAAATTGAAGACGAATCTCGCTCTTATATATTGCAATAAATACTCTATTCTAAGAAATAAATTTTATAAAAGCATATCATTCCGACTTTAAACAATTATCTTCGTTACAAGCCATTGGCGAACTTATGACTTCTTCAAATCATATGTTAATATTCCATTAGCAAAATTTATTTCATCTTGCTTTGATCTACGCAATATTCTTCTTTTAAATTTAACCGATGTAACTTGATTGCTATATCATAACATTATTATATGATCACGATAATCGTTACTGTTTTAGTTTTAGTTTACAAAAGCTTCTGCAACACTGTATGTATTTATGGTCATGCAAATAAAGCTAGTTGTTGTTGTTGTTGTGGGACAGTCTATATTTAGAAAATATCTGAGCAAGTTTTCGCTGAGCGCTTGCCATGGAACGCCGAGACTGCTCACGGTCTTTCAATTCGGGGTAAATTAGGTTGAGCGCGAACAAATCATCCGAGGAAACTTCAATTCAATCTGGGCATATTTTGCATGGTCATATGCATGTCTCCTCGTGGACAAGGTTTCTAGGACAGTGTTTGGGCTTCATCTTTCAGAAAAGGCTAAATAGCTACTTCAGTTCGAGTGTCTTTTTGTTTGTCATGGTATGCTTTTACCCCGCAACAACAACTAGTTTTATTTACATGACCATAAATACAGTGTTGCAAAAGTGTGTTTGTTTTTTTTTTAATAAAGCTAAAACAATAATGATTGTCGTGAACACATACAGTCGAACCTTTCTAATACGGACACCGAAGGGACAAAGCGAAGTGTCCGCATCAGAGAGGGGTCCGAATTAGAGAGTTCACTATGATGACGTCACTTTTAAGTCTCCACTGACAATTTAGAGTGTTTCTAAAATCAGGCCCAAAAGTGAGTGTCTTATGAATTTGTGAATTTCTCAGCTATATGCTGTACATACGAATTTTGGACAGGAAATGGTACATACCGCAAATTATCGACACCTGGTCCCCGGAGTGTCCGTAATAAAGAGATTAAATTTGTATGAATTTGCTCCCTAGGGCCGAGATTTAGTGTCCGTTGTCCGTTTTAGAGCGGGTCCGCATTATAGAGGGGTTTTTTTTTGGGGGGGNGTCCGTATGGAGAGGTTCGACTGTAATGAGGTTATGATATAGCAATCAAGTTACATCGGTTAAATTTAAAAGAAGAATATTGCGTAGATCAAAGCAAGATGAAATGAATTTTGCTAATTGAATATTAAAATAATGATTTGTAGAAGTTTGCTGTAGCTAAGCAGTAGAACATCTGGTCTAGTAACAAGAAGTTCTTAGGTTTGACTCCAAGCTGGAGAACTCGGAATTCTTTTACCGAGTATGCCTGTGTTACTGCCAGAAAAATAATCTTCTCCACTCTTGTTGTTGTTGTTGTTGCTGTTATAGAAAAGTGTTTGTGTGCCGTATGAAACAACCAAGCGACGTCTTTTCATGATGTCAAGCGTAGTAGTTGAGATGGAAACGATTCAGAAGTGTCAGTCAGCTAGTTCCTCTTGCCAGCAGCTTCCGCACATGGTCACTTTTTACAAGGGGACTGAGTACGAGACTACGGTTGACGTTGGAATGTGTAGCGGAGTGTGCATCGAAAATAACGCGTGTCTAGCAACTATGAAAAAGACGAAAAGTATTTCATCACCAAACGGTATGTCGCACGGCAGAGATGGTGTTTCTATGGAAACCATGACATTTTGTGTGAATCATTCTAATGTCCAGTCATAAAATAGTAACAACGCTCGGTTCTTGCTAAAAGTGCTTCTCTTGTAAACTTGTCAATTTTCTGTTAGTAATCCGCTACTTCTCACAAGATAAGACAGGCACTTAAAAAATAAGATACGTCTCAATGGGGAAGTTAATGATTGAGATCTAACCAGTGGTTTCACATTGCTGTTTTTGTAACGTTTTCTTACAAAAGTCCCTCAAGAAACTTGTTTTCTTAAAAGTAAAGGCTAATTTTGATTCATTGCTCTGTGTTGTTTTCTAATAGGGGTCAAGTGCCTTGACACTGTTGAGGAGTGCTCATGCGTGGTACCTCACTGTTACCGTTTGTCATCATTTGAGGGATTTCCCGAGCAGTACACTGACTCCCGAGGAAACACAGCAATGCGAACTAAGGTGGAAGATCAATCAAGCCTTTAATAAATGAAAACCCTTGAGAGATTATCAGTTTCGCTCGCGGGCTTTTGAAGTACTGCCTATTCAAGTTAAAACCCCACGATACAGCGCAACAGCTACCCAAATGGCTTTGTTGCTAAGCCGAGATATAATATTCAATTTATCAATGGTCAGCGTCATATAGCTGAACAAGTGAAGATAATTAGCTGTTTAATCACTGTTCTTTTCTGACTTATTTTATTGGTGTTTCAGATCATTGATCTTGGTAGATGTATTGGCGATACCTGTCCCTTGGAAACTACCAATTCGAGGTACTAATGTAAAGGGAAAAGTACGACTGACTTGTCACGGGAATGTAAAGTTATCACGTTCATGTCAATAAGACAATCAATCAATCAATCAATCAATCAATCAATCAATCAATCAATCAATCGGTCACTCAATCATCAATTAATCAGGTAATCAATCGATCATCCATTAGTCAATCAATTAATCATCAATCCATCAGTTAATCACTCTATCAAGTAATCAATCAATCAATCAATCAATCACTCAATCAATCAGTCGATCGATTGTCGATCAGATGCCCAAAATTATACAATTATGTAAGCGTCGTAAATCTCTCTGAAGGTGTCAGTTTCATGTGTTACAGAAGCAATAGCATAAAGGCCTCTCCAGACCAACGCTAGAAAAGTGCAAGCCATTATAATTCATATTTCAAGAATGACAAGAGAAGAGAAATCATCCCCACGAAAGTGTAAGCAAGACGCAAATCAGTTTACAAGACGTTAAAATTGGGATAAAGATGATCAACAGGATTCCTGTTGCTAAAGCACGCCGGATAACAGAATTGTTACGGTTTTTGTCAAACACGTTCCAAACTAAAACCAAAAGTTCCCAGAAGTCATAGAAGGAGGCAGCGTGGCCGAGTGGTTAGAGCGCCGGATTTGAATTCCGTAGGTCCCGGGTTCAAATCCTGTTCTAACCGCTAGCTAATGTTGTTCTCGGTATCCCCGAGTTCAACTTCTTGGCTACGCTTGTAAATAGCCAACTGGTCTGCCTCCCGCCAGCTGGGATTCTTAACCTAGTTATGTTTATTTAAATATTTATTTATCATTGCTTTGTTATATTGGTCCTGAAAAGCCCCAATCGGGAGTGGCCAATTAAGTATACATACATGCATACATACTGAGCTCAGAAATTGAAATATGTTTTTTTTCTAGAACTAAAAACTTATTACAGAATTAGTGCTAAAATAATTTTCCAGTTGTAAGTTTTATTCACCAGGTTAACTAAGGTATCCGTAAGGCCTGAGCTGTCCCAGACATTTGGGTAATCCTAGCTATGATGTCTTAGTTGTAAACCCACGTTATCTATCACCCTAATTTGGTACATTGATATTTTATTTCAACATTTCAACTATCCTACGATCCAGAGCGACGTAAGAGATTATTCTTACCATGTCACTAAGAAATGGCTATGGTAAGATTGCATCATGTATGTTATGAGCTAGCGTAAAGTCCGTATTAGGGAAATATCGGTTCTGAAGAGCGAAAGCAATATTCCCCAATACAGACCGCATAAGCTAGTTCGACAAAGTTTAACTTTATTATGTTGCTCTTTTCAAAACTCTGCTGATAATTTAATACCTCCCTGCGATCCTTTCTCGGTAAATGTGTGTGCAAAAGTTAGCATCCTACTTTTTTGTGCGTTCTGAAAAAGTTATTCGCCTATCTTAGCGGTCCGTATCGCAACACTTCGGTCAAGAGCCTATCAACACCACCACCAAGAGAACACGCTGGAAATGGATTGGTCATACACTAAGGCGGAGTGAGACGCACTATGTCCCCCACGGGACAAAGAGGACTAGATGATGATGATCGCAGCATTCGGACCGCCAAGCGAACTAATCAGAATTCTTCTTTTTATCCTGGACTTTGTTTGTCTCGTATTTTTCTTGCCATATAACATGCTCGAGTTCTCTGCTCAGAATTTCGGACTCCTGCTGTTTTAACTGAAAATTGTACATACTAGTATGCACAATTTTCAGCTAAAACAACAGGAGTCCGTCATCTTGATCTATTCGCGTCAGATTTTTTTTTTTTTTTTTCAAAAAGGCAGCTTCAGTTTATTTTCTGATTGAATTTCTCCTAGCCTGAAATGTCAATCATCTACCACTCTCAGCCGGCGGAGAAACGTCTGATGTCTGAGGGTTATAACTCCTTTTCCTTGACCATCGTGGCTTAACAAGAAATAACACACAAACTGCGGTGACAAACATGACAATAAAACGCAACGTTGGAAAACAAAACTAAAACTATATCATTTAACTTGACGCTTCGTATGTTTCGAATTAGGTTTACGTTCTTCGAATGCAGTAACTCCACCCAGGCGTCTCTGGCCATGGATTTAGGCCGAGGACGGGAGATGACTGACATTTTAGGCTAAATGTTTCTTGGGTCCTAGAAACTGATCATTCGTCCTGTTTTTGTTTTTGTTTTGTTTTGTTTTGTTTTTTTCTGTCTTGTTCCAGGTTAGATAACGCCAAATTTGCATGGTTCTTCGTGTCCAGACCGCAGGACCCCACCAAATGTCGCTCACGTTCGAGGAAATGGCATTCCTTTAACACCACTGGAGGAAAGAGCTTCAACGTCTCCTCCATTGAAGACTGCGTCTGTTTCTAAGAAAGACCGGTCCGACTAAACTTGGGCCCACATATAGATTTTGTTTCTCATAAGCTCAACGCTGTTCTTAGAAGCTCCAGTTCAAGTTAGTGGAGAGAAATTCTAGCTCGCTGGGAATAACAAATAAGTCATGTGACTGTTTCTGATGATTACAAACACAAGCCGCAATAATTATGTAGAAGTTAGAGTAAGATAAAAAAATAATAATAATCGCTCTGGAACAAGAGATAAACTGTTTCTAGTTCATTTTCAAAAGAATCACAGTAGTTATCATTCCGCTTTATCAGTTCATTTTATTGCTAACTTATAGCTTAAGATTTACGATCCGCTTTTTGAACTTCTTAATTGTTACCTTTTAGCTCCAGTTTATAGTCCTTTTCACATTAGTATTTTGTGACGAAAGCATACAGTGCTCTATTGCTTTACAGATATAACAACCAGAAATAACAGTCAATAAAATTGCATCGATCCGAGTAAAAAGGGAGGGTGGTTAGGTTTATGGCTTTCCTCTTTTGAGCGACTGTTTTGCAAATAGGTGACACCTGTCATGTTCATCTATATTTGATTGTAACTTCTCCCAAAGAGTACCCAGATCACAAGAGTGTAGCTCTTCCATTTCATCCTTCTTGGGTAAGTGCTCGTCTTCGACTGGCCATTTATTCTCAGTTCAGTTTCAGCTGAGAGTCATACAGATGGGTGTCCAAGTTTTCTTTTTGGACACCCACTTCGAGAGAAAATGCTATTTTTTTTTACAAGTTGAGTTTTGAATTGCAGGCTTGAGTCAGAATAAGCCAGCCCACAGAAAATTTTGGGTGCCCCACTTGTCCTGGAGGAGGAATGTATGACAAGCCCAAAAGTGTTCTGTGTGGAAGGCCAGGTTCTCTCCCTCCTCTGGGGGATTTTCTCTGATTTTCCTTGTTCTTAATTTAGAACCCATCACTCTTAAGTTCTACTTTGATCTCTAATTTAGTTGCCTTCAAAACAAAGGCACAAAATCAGTTATTAATTACCAAAATAACAGATGCGAAGGCAACTAATCTGGAATCTGAGTCCCAAAGGTTTTTTCAGCTGCAAAGTTGATTTCCACTGTCACGAGAGTGATCTAGCTGGCAAATTGAAACTGTCCACTGGAAAAACGTTACAGTCCTGCTTTCAGACCTTTTGGTGAACATTGCAAAAGCTGAACCCAAACAACTAGAACGTTTAACAAACGTGCCTCAACCTGTCCTCAGTTCTAAGCTATACTCACATCAAAGAACACAGAATATCATAAAATATCATTAACAAAAGAATGGTTTCATGATGAACATTACTTCAATGCCAGCCAGTGTATGCTTATTTCTTTGTCTCATCCTTTCTTTCCATAGCTATCGCCATGACAGCCTGTTACAATAATTTTTAACAACGTTTTCTGAGCACTATCACTCAAAGAGGGATTGGTACTGTATATTAATAGCAGTGCCAAGAGCTACGTTTTGAAGTCATGCTTTCCTCCTACATGTACATGGTCATTTCTATCAGTTTTCCAGATCTTAGGGACTTGAGTACTTTTATAACCTGCTCACTGGAAGCCTGTGAAATGGAGAGAAAATAATGGTCCTTCTCAGTTGAGCAGAAAATCACAGTGTGACAATAACAAAGCCAATAATTCTTTGAGACCAATTCATAAACACAAACATTATATGGAATGTGTTGTTCCATACAATATCTCTACCCTTTTAAACAGAAAATATGTATATAACTTCCTTTAAAACTTTGGCCTTGATATCATCCTTTGCTTGGGGTAGGGGAAGGTTAATAGATATTTTCAGGAAACAAAATAAGTCAGTGCAGGTAGGATTTTTCTGAAGTGAGGGAGGCATGGAGTCGTGGACATACGGTTACCACTACCATCTTTCAAAAAGTTCATCTTGCTAAACTCATGGACAAAAACATTGGCCTAGGAAGAACATGATCTAAACTCAGATTCACTGGATAGATAAAATAACTTCCTGTTGTCAATTACCTGATGAAGTGAGTGTAGCATTGGACTCTTTAGAAGGAATTGAAAGGCTTCCACTGACTGTGAATCTACATGTGATGACTCGGTGAAGCATACAAACAATGCCGCAGCCACACTGTGGATCTGACAGTACTGTAAAACTAAACAAAACATATTTCTATGAGTTTTCTAAGAAATGAATGATTTCGTTCTTGTACCAGATGATTGGAAACATATTCCAGACTACCAGATCAGTCATATGCAAATTGTATTCCACTTTAAAACCATTTTTTAATCCCCTATTTAATTTATGAAAAGGAGGAAATAGTTCTGTACAGGCGCGCAGATGATCCCAGCCCGCAAATGATCCCCATACCGCAAATGATCCTGAAATCGCTTATATTTTATTACTGTGAAACTCAGGAAACCATGAACATTTGGATTTGATTCCAAAAGATTAACTTGGTACTGAACCAATCACAATAAAGTTCAGGACACACAAGAACCACAACCAATAGGCCACGTTTGATATATCAATATTCTAACATCGATCTGAGGCTTTAAGGTCAAAATTGCAAATTTTTTAAGTTTCCTTTGTCTTTCAATTCCCAAAAGAGACTTGGATACAAGGAAAACACCACCACACATCCCGAAAGCCTCGAAGCCATGTTAGAATATTGGTATCTCGAACGTGGCCTATTACTGCTGGTGTTTGCCATTTAGTTTTCTCATGCTTAATTGGTTTTTTCCGTGCTACACAATAACAATCCTTCAATATTTCTGGTATTCATGGGTTTCTGAGTTTCAAAGTAATAATACAATATCTTGATACAACAGTTACTATATGAAATGCAAGAAAATGTGCAGTATGAACGATTTGAATGCAAATTTCACAACCTTAAAAATGATATCCAACATCACAAAATCCTGTGTTTGAAAGTTGTAGTTTAGTTAGATCCTTCCCTGAATGACTTTATTAGGTCTGGGCCTGAGATGTATAAACACAGGATGTTCACCGTATCCTCAAATTTGGAGACAACTGAGAATTCCCAAGTGGATTAACTACATTTTTACTACAGCAACTAGCAAAAAGGAATCTTAGGCACTTTCGAGGGAGTCTGTGGCTATCTAGGATGCAAGTATGAGAAGTGTACAGGGAAAAGTTTGAAGTGGTTAATTAGATGGCAGAGGTATCTTTGAAGATTCCTGTTTCTTTTTGTGGTATGTTTCCTAAACGAAAAATTTATGCAGTCGACACATGTCAATTTACTATTTTGCGCAGTATGTTTAACGTTTTTATTGCTGCTTTTATGCCTGAGGTACTTGTCTTTTATTAAGAAAATCTCTATCAATTCATAGACTTTTCATGGAGTCCACACCATTCCGAACTTCTTATGTTGGAATCAATTCTGGTCCAGGGATCATTTGCGGTACAATTTGGGGGTCATTTGCGGTTCGGGGATCATTTGTGGGCCAGGATCATTTGCGGGCCTGTACAGTTCAAATATTGGCTATTTTACCTGATGCTGCAACTCCACTCATGACATTAGGAGTTTCCAAAAATGAGCATTCTTCGTGTAAAATCTTTTCTTGCCAGGAATCTGTCTTTAACACTTTTACAAAGTCAGACTTGAGATTCTCAGGAGCATTGGTGTGATACTCACAGGCTGCCAATGATGTTAGAATAACAACTTTGGAAGGCTTCAAATTCTCAAACAACTGAAACATGAAGGTCTAAATCAAGGTCTACTCAATTGACTGATGATGTTAATTATTGGCAAAGTTAACAACTGAGATGACTGACCAACGAACAATGGAATGAAGAATGGAAGGCACGATGAAGGAAACAAAAAGAACAAATGTGAGGGGGTGAGGGGATTTTTTTTCTCTATTCGCGTTTTTTTTTTTTTTTTACTT